TGGTTTGGAGGGGAGAAGTGAAGGAAGTTGGGGATGTAATGGAGAGAGTGACTGCACGTGTACTTAGCCAGGACCAGCGGGAAAGAGCAGCGGGGCTGAGGGAGTGGGGAACCTGCAGCAGGCACAGCATGGCCTGGGAGACAAGGGCGGGGCAGGGGCTGCAGCCCCCCCCCCACTCTCCCTGAATACCACGGAAAGGTCTGCCTCATTCCAAATGGACTCTTATGTTTACTTTATTTAGTCCCTGGGCCTTCTAGCTGTGTACACCACATACTTCATTACCTTTATCTTTGTTTAGCCCATTAGTAAAAAATGTGAAAAGATGGTAGAGAGATTGTAGGCGCCCAGGTTGATATTACCACCCATTTATCAGCTCTTAGCCTTACATTAAAAAGCTGCCACCCACTGGGTCCACACAGCCCCTGAGGACTATTCACTAGTCGGATAACATTTGAGAGTTCCGACAGCATCACTCGCTCTTAGGGCATCTTTGCTATCTCCTAGCATCACTGCTTTCCTTCATGTACTGAAAAGTCCTCCATTTCAGAATTTTATTCCAGAATGCTGCTGCAAAACAGTCTTTTTCTGGGGCAAGGGACCAGGGATTGAACCCTGTGGTGTTCAACCACCGAGCCATGTCCCCATCCCTTTTAAAATTATTTAGAGACAGGGTCTTGCTACATTTCCCAGGGCCTTGCCAAGTTGCTGATGGTGGCTTTGAACTCAGGATCCTCCTGCCTCAGCCTCTGGAACCACTGGGATTACAGGCATGCAGCTTGTTTTGCACCAAACTGCAAAACAGTCTTTTAAATTCTTTCATCTTCCTTCTTTAAATTGTCTCCCTCAGAATCAGATTGCCTCAAAAATCATCCCTATGGTGGTTCATGGCAATCACATGAAATCTGGGTACTGTTGGTACAAAGACATGAGAATTCACTATTCAACAGAGCAGTCATTTGAACCTGAACTGGGTGTATCAGGATCTCCCAGTTTCTAGTTTCCTCCTCATAGGCAAAGCACACAGAATAGGAGCCACTTGACCCTGTGAAACCCAGCTGTGGTGGGAGGTGCCCAGCCAGGGTGTTTTGGTTTCAGGTGTAGAGCAGGAGCCCATTCTCTGCTGCCCTGTTCTCACCAGGCAGAGCACTGCACAGTGTTATGGCCTTATTTTGTATGCACTTTAAAAGTCTGAGATACCCTGGACTATTTCATCCACTTTCCCTCTGTCTGAGATGCCTATGATGTCTTTTCTGAATTTCTAGGGTGTTAGCAGGGATATGGCTAAAACCAGCACTTTAGAAAGTAAGAAGGGAAAGTAACATTTATATAGTTTAATTCATTTTAGAAAGCTAAAGGAGCGATCACACAGTGCTCTCCCTCTGCGCTCATACCACTCACCTCCTTACAGACAAGAACATAGATGCCAGAAACTTTGAAAACTCCTAACTCCTGTGACATAAAACAAGACTATACCTCTGCATGAAAAACACGAGGATAACAGTCACATGAGTCTTACCCAGTGAAAAACTTTGCTAACACAGTCAGAGAGACATTTCTAGATACCAAAAAGATCCAAGTAGGTGCTTAATAAGTGCTTTTTAATAAATCCACAGCCTTGATATTAAACTGAGACAAGGCTGTAGGGTGAGGAGTACCTGGTCTGTCCCTGTTCACCTTTACTGGAGAATGGCTGGGCTTTTCACTGGCAATTGCACCTACCAAGTGTGGACTTAATACAGTCCTACTTATGGGAGGCTTTTTCCTGGCTTTAGGAAAGGGAGTCCAGAGACAATTGAAATTCGATTGTTCAGGCCTTTGTGAGGCTCTGATGGAGGGATAGGGCCCATCCCTGCCCCCACAGAGGTGAAATCCTACAGCTTTTGGCTATAGGATAGTTTAAAATAGTAGTTGACTATCATGAATATATACTGTGCCAGTTGGTGACAAATGCTATGAATTTCCTGGATTCAGTGAGATAGTGACACCTTTACTCTCCTCTTTGGTGGTATGTTGAGTGCTTTGATGCCATTGTGACAGATCAAGACCCTGAAACCCCCAAATGCTTGGAAATTTGCTTGAAATCTGGAAACACTCAAGCTCACACCTGAAATGCAGGGGCTTGAGGTGGTAAGGGTGTGAATTAGGGCCAGCGTGGCCACACTGTGACATGAGGTGTTGGCGCCCCTCACCTTCCTCACAGGTTTGGATCTGGGGTAAGAGGCACTAGGGCCTGACCCTCCTGTCAGACATGGACAGTAAGGGTGGGATTCATTCGTCCTGACCAGAGAAGGAAAAAGGAGGTTTTCATTTAAACCTCTGAAGGTATTTTTAGGAATTGACCTCCTGAGTGGCAGTAGACTTCTGACTCATCCTTACAGACACCATATCTTTGTATAGATGTGGAAGGATCCAGAAAGAGGGAGTATAGGCAGCTGGTCTGAATCCACTTTGGTGACTGACTGGCAGAGGCAAAGAAGGATCCAGAGTCTGAAACGTCAGATGCTGATCTGGTGAATGCACCTGTGAAACAAATCGGGGTCACACTGCCCACTTGAAGAGCCAGCTCACCCTACCCCAAGCCGCACCTGCTGGGCGGTCCTGTGTTGCCCCTCCAGGAGCATCACCAGGCTCCGTGGTCCTGATTTGCAGCGTCTGTCGTCAGCTGATCCCTCACTGCAGCTATGACCGGGCCTGAGTTGTTGGAAAGGGAGGCGATGTCAGCCAGTCACGAAGCGTGTTGCATTCATGCCAGCTTCACGCTGTCCTCTGTAAGCCACACTTCAGGACAGCTTCAACTGAGGCCTTGCAGACAGTGCTGCTGATGGAGGCTGAACACGTTCCTAACGGGACACCACAAGTGACCTCTCACGAAGTAAGTGCAGAGTCCCTTTGGCCAGGGCTTCCCGGGGAGCACTGGGGAGAATGCAGCAGCCTCACGGCTTACTACAGACCCAAGCAGGCAGAAGCCATCAGTCACAGGCAGGCTGTGGTGGCACCAAGCACTCCTCCAGCCAGTCCACGGTCCCTTGGGACACCTGCTGACCAACCAGCTGACCAGCACATTGCTCCCTCCATTCATCTCAGCGCACATGTGGGAGGTTTACACAGCAGGAGCGCGCTGGACTCCCTCCAGCCTTGAGCAGGAGCCAGGGGCCTCAGGCTGCAGAGGTCTCACTGGTCGCTGCTTCTGCTTGTGATGGGGCACCTGTGGGTTTTGGGGTAGGGTGGGGGTGTGTTTGGGGGACACAGGTCACAAACTTCATGAATGGAAGGACGGCACATTTTCAGCATCCCCTGGTAAGTCCTGCAGGTTTTTGAGCAGTGGTGATTTGGACGCAGCCTCCCCCACCCTTCAGGTGCCTCTCTGTGCCTGGCAGTGACCCAGGAGGTAGGCGCCACTCCCGCTGTACAAATGGCAGGTGGGCTGTGAGAGGCAGGGAGGCTGGCTGGAGGCTTGCAGTGACCCCAGCAAGGCAAGTCACTGCGAGCTATAACTGGAATATCATGGGCACTGCAAAGGGTCCCTCTGACTGCCTCACTCTGGTCCTCCATGGAGGACCTAAAATCCAGGGGCAGGCCTGCCAGGGCACTCAGACAGGAGTGCACACACCTGAGCACCTCACGGGTCCCACCCACCTAGGGGGAGCATCCCCGGGGGCTTGCCTGCGGGTCCTTGTGCAGGGGAGCTGCTGTGCTGGGCGCACACAGGGAGTCAGCAAGCGTGGGTCTCCCCCAAGTAGGTGGGGATGAGCTCCTTTCTTCATCTGTGCAAGTCACTTGCGTGAATATTCACCAGGCTCCGATATTGTCTCGTAGGCAGAAAGCGCTCTAGACCTCACTTGTAACTCGGCTCCTCTAGGTCAGTGGAAAGTGCTTAGTGACTCCATGAGCAAATATCTCAAGTGTGACTCTGAATAGGCTGAGCCTTTGGTGGGATGTTTGGCCAGCTCTGGTGTGGACCAGTTCATCTCTTCTGCAACCACAGCAAAACAGTGGGTCCTTTATGTGGGAAATACGTCTGTTTCATTCATGCTTCTAAGTGCCTGTCAATTCAATCGCCACTGGCATCTCAGCGTAAAAGGACGTACATGTTTCTGTTGTTCCCCTTCTGAAATGTCACTGCTTCATGTTCCCCTGGCATGTCTGTCCTCTGTTGTCTGATTGGTCTGCAGAAGTCCTCCCCATTGGCCAGCACTCCCAGACCACTCAGTTTGCTGAAGAGCAGAACCTTTTAGTGGTGTAAATTGGTATCCAGTTGGGAGCCAAGATGGAAGACAGAAGCCCAGAATGTTCTGGTCCATGGGAGCTGGTCTGTGGAGCACCAGGCTCTTTGGATGCTAGGAAGGGGTAAGGCATATCTTCGTAATGACCCTGCTCTTTCTTGCTAACAGTGAGGCCATTTCCCGATCACTAAAGAATGCGCAGGCTTTGTTGTTTTTTCATGTTCGATTTCTTTTTTGTGGGGAGCCAGGGGGTACTGGGGACTGGGGATTGAACTCAGGGGCACTCTGCCACTGAGCCACATCCTCATTCCTATTTTGCATTTTATTTAAAGGCAGGGTCTCACTGAGTTGCTTAGCGCCTCCCTGTTGCTGAGGCTGGGTCTGAACTCGCGATTCTCCCTCTGGAACCACTGGGATCACAGGCGAGCCCCGCTCATGTTCAGTTTCAGCTTTTTCTAGGATTGGGCAGCTCCTTAACATTCCACAGTGGACTCCATTCCAGCAAGACCGAAAACCAGAGCTGCCTTCTGGAGGGCCTTTGCTGTTTAGGGATGTGCTCTGCTAGTCCCCACATCCTGCCGTCTCTGTCCTCAGAGAGGCGCTCTGTCACTGTTGGCATAGCCACCTCAGTGATCTGTGTGCCTGCAGGTGCCACCTCACCCCAAGCTTCCTGGCAGCCCCCTGCTGTGAGCATGACCCCTGCCAGGGCAGAGGCAGAAGTGGGGCAGAGCAGTCAGTGTAAACACACACCACAGGTGACCCAGACAAACACTTTAATTTTTTTTTTTTTTTGGAGGCATACTTTCGTCATCTTACCTAAAGCACTTTTCACTGTCTCTGGCAATCAAAGGTTACAGAAGACTCAGCTCAGCACCAGAGGATGACAGGGGGACTCATCCCTCTGTCCCCAGCCCTGCTCCCCCCTGCAGCCTCCAAGACCCTTTGCATTGTCACAGAGGCAGGCCCACACGCAACTGCACAGCCACTCACTCCCTCCCTGTCTCTCAAAACCACACACACACACACACACACACACACACACACACGTGCGCGCGCGCTAGAGAGTGAAAAGAAAACCAAACCCACTAAATCACACGGGGAAAAACGATTTAAGAGCATCATCTTCCCCCTCTGCCTCCGAGACCGAGCTCCATGTCTGGGGAGGCCTTGATGTGTGCTCGTGCCGGCAGGGGCTCACCCAGCCTCCATCATCATGTCCCACTAAGAAGGCTGTGCAGAGGCCACCAGTTCCCCAAGGTTCCCTTTGGAGGTGACACATCCCTGAGTTAGTCACTCTGCTTCTGTTTGTTGTCGATGTTGCCATAGGCAGAGCCCTTGTCGATTTCTGTCACACCAATCATCCATCGAACTCCCATGGAAGCTGCAGAGACAGGGCAGGAGCAGAGATTAGCAGGAGGACAGACTGCAGGGAAGTTTGCCTGGCGAGAACCTGGGGGAGACAGGTGGGTGCAAATCCCAAGCATCAGTGAGAGCTGGCAGATTTGAGGTGCCTTTTCATGACCCCAGCTTTAGAGTCAATCTAAAATGTCAGTCTACGTGACATTGAAAGGAACCGAGTAAGGCTGCTCGGTTGGGTTTTCATTCTTGTGTACTGGAAGTAAACAGCTGTTTGTGGGGCCCACAGAATTCTCAGCTTTCCATGCTGATCCCCATGGCAAAGAGGGTTCTTTTGCCAGTGCAGGGTAGGAGCTTATGGGACCTCAGCAAAGGAGCCTGGAAAATGCAGGGCTCCAACATCTGAAGCACCCAAGTTCAGCATGCCTGGGGCGAGTATTGGAGCGGTGAGTGAAGTCCCTGCCCTGGCTGAGAGCCTTCACACCTGTGGGTGTGAACCGTAACAACCTCTGCAGGACCCAGGCCTGAGCCCAGTTAGCCACCAGGAGGCTGGAAAACAGGGCTGCTGCTCAGAAGTGGCCTGTTCCCTCTGGAGAGGGCAGACTTCCATAGGTCTTTGGTACTAGGACCACACCTCGGTCACCTTGATGTGCCCCCCATCACAGGGCCAGGCAAACACTATGTGTGATCATCATTCATGAACCAACAGGGGAGTGGCACCAAGCTCTGTAGACTTCCTCAGTCATGGATGGGGCAGAGGCCACAGCCCTCCTGGGGTGGGACACGTATCCCATAGGTCATTTAGAAGTGAGGAGACTTCTGCTTGAGGCCACCTCTCGAGAAGCTGAGGCTCGAACCTTGGCCTGGTCCTAGAACTCACATAGAATTACTCAATGCTACTGTAAAGTAGAAGAGGGGAGCACAACACGGCCTCTGCTCAGAGGCCTGTGAGGAGGAGAGGAGCAACACTGTGCCACGCAGGGCGTGGCCTGTGGACTGACAGCCGCTCTGCAATGTGCAGCCTCACAGGCCCCTCAGCCTGGCTCCATCCTCCCACTGCCAGGTGCTGTCACCCCAGCAGAGCAGCACCACTGCCTCCACTTGGAAGCCTCTTGCTCTCCACTTACCCATGCAGAAGACGAGGATGAAGGTGGCCAGTGTCACAGAAGAGCCACTGCTGACCATGCTGACCAGGAACTGGAAAAAAGGGTAAAGCAGCAGCGAGGCCCAGAACAGCCAGTTGAGCAGGGCCCAGGGCCGCCGCGGGGGGACCCGGGGGGTCTCTGGGAAGACACCTGTCCTGTAGTACTCCTCCTGAAAAGCATCCTGGGGACAGAGGAAGGGACCCTCTGATACAGCACTGGACTTGGCTGAACTGGCCTGCCCAGACCCACCCAGGACGCACTCCACACTGACATTCTGGCCTCTCCACACAGGATCTGCAGACTCCACATGCAGTCCACCAGCACCAGCACCCTGTCTGTGCCCTGCAGCTTCCCAGGGGCTGGGACTTCAAGACCACACAGATGACAGAGGGCCTTGAAGCCTGTAGGTGCCACTCACAGGAGGTGATGGAGCACAGGCGGCTTCTTCCGCGAGAGCAAATTAGGAAAATATTAGATGGCCCCTTCTCAGTATGTCTTGGGAAGAAAGAAATAGTGGAAGCTAAGGTCCTGCTCAGAGGAAGGAAGGACAAGTCAGGAGCCCAGCAGCTGATCACAGATGGCAAGGAGGAGGGGCTCCTGCAGGTCTGAACCCAGCCATGGCAAAGCCACCCTCAGGGACTACATCCTGCTCATGCTGGTGATGTTCTGGATTAGGCAGGCAACCAAACTGTTGACCCAGAAGCACTTTAGACTGCATCCATTGCCAAAGATAACTGTAGCATCTTGCAGGAATATTCTGCCCCAGGGCCACAGCCAGGAAACAGCAAGGGCTGTGGGGCCTACTTGGTCTTGGCCACTACACCCATAGACAGCTTTCTTCTCTCTGTGAAGCCCTTAAAGACATTTCACTTGTTCCCCTCACCTTCTCCTGGTAGAGCTTGTGGAGCCAGGCCGAGCACTTGTCCTCGTCTTCGGGGATGTCTTCCATTGGAATCCGCCTGCAAGGGCAGAGAGCAGCCAGTGGTGGGGAGGCCACAGCATACCCGGTGCCAGCAGCACTTTCAGCATAACAATGCCTGCTCTCGGGCTTTCATTTAGGTGGCCTACACAGTGTGGAAGCAAAGAGGAGGACTTCCATGGAAGCCAAAGTGTAGTCATGGTCCAAGCAGGATGGAGCCAGGACCTGATTTGATGACACAAAGATGGTGAGACGCGGGGACACCTGCCCTTTTCTCTTTTCCCTCCTGCCTAACAGAAAGGCTCCCCGAATCTGACACTTGCCTTAGTCTCCAACACGTACAGAATCCACATTTAGGAGATAATACGCCAGCCATTTTTTCAGCCAAGTAACGACTTCATGGCAACGGCAGATACCTCCCATCAAGTGATCTGACCTGGTAGCACCAAGGCAGGCCCCTGCCAGAGTGTCACTACATGAAAGGATCTGGATGGGAGAAACCAGGGCATCTGCCCCTCTGGGCTCAGGGATCCCTGTGTCACTTTGCACCCCAGTGTTTACTCACAGGTTCAAGGGTGGCCCTCGGGCCATTGCTAGCAGGGGCATGAGGATCATTCTGCAGACAGCCCATCAGAAACAAGGGGAGATGCCACTTTGCTCTGACTCCTGTTCCATGTCTGTCTGTCCCTTTCTCTCTCTTGCTTGCTCGCTTTCTCTTCTGAGGCTGCTGGCTCTGGTGACTGCAAGGACTGTGAATTTACACTTGCTTTTGTCCTTGAGAAAGGACAAAAGGCTCGTTTCACTTCTCACTGCTCAGGAATATCTTAGGAAGAAGAGACACTTCAGAAATTCTTTGCCAAGGTGTAGCTGTTCAGAGAATGGAGGCTGGGATTTCACCTCATCAGAGATGACGGGAGCCACCACTGTTAGAATAAGGGCTTCCTTCTCGGGCAGAATTCTACAGAGGTAAGCTTTTAACATAATTAAGACTTACCCTGCAAGTTTCTCTGGAAACTTTCCTGTCTTCTCTTCCCCTTTCCTGTCCCTACATCTCTTTCCATGCATACACCATTTCTTTCTTTGCTCTTCTGATCTGCCCTCGTTTGCAGATCAGATCTTTCAGTGTGGTTCATGAGGAGGTTAGAGATGCTGCCTGCAAACTATTTCTTTGCTTGCACCAAGGAGCTCGGATGGTTCTGCTCTTTTCAGTAATGTCCTTGGCACTGTTGCCCTGGATGTTTTCATGCTTCACACTGAGGTGCAGTGTACCTCAGAGCAAGGCCTCAGCCATCCCAACTGGGTCACTACAAGGAGAGAGGTGAATTGAGTAGCAAAAGGAATCTTCCTGGGGGCTGGGGAGATAACTCAGTGGTAGAGTGCCTGCCTTGTATGCAGAGGCTCTGGGTTCGAGTCCCCAGTACATTATAAAATCTTCTGGGAGGCCATGAGTGAACTTGACAACGAGACGGGAGCCAGTTTTGGGGTGTGTGCTCTGATTGCCACATGCTCTGAAGAGTTGCAGTGACCTGAGAAAACGTGGAGCTCCTGCCAAGTGTTGAATGAACTTAAGAGAGAAAAGCGCATTTTGTCCCTGAAGAAGACCCCCTTAGGGAGGGTGGGGATCCCCAGCCTTCTCTGGCAGCAGCTGAGTAAAAGACAGTGGCCACCCCACCATTTGGAAGGTCTCAGAATGCTGCTCTCTACTGCCTCTAAGGATCTGGGCTCGATTCCAGGCAGGGAGTGGCTTTGGACTTCAGCAGTCAGCCCACCAGCAGTCTCCTTGGGAATGTTCAGACATCACGTTGAGCCTAGTGAGTATGGCCAGCCACTGGCGTTTCCTTGAGCCGTGCTGTAGCTGGGCATCAGTAGAGTCTTGAATGGGAAAATACGTACCACTTGCATGTGTCTCTGCTGGTGGGCATTTCAGGGGCTCTTGGTCAGACTTTGGAGGAGATGACCCACAGCACAGGAAACCAGGCCAACCCCACCAGAGTCAGATTGGACTTAATGAGTAAGTCACTGACCTAAGGCCAATCACCCTTGCGTTTTACCATCTGCAGCTTCTCTAAATTCTTCCTGCTCATCTTGGTGACATTCTGGAGATTAGACAGTAAGCCCATTGTGTTAGTCAATGGACAGGTGAAGAGGATTGGCCTAGGGAGGGTTTTCCCTAGTCATGACTAACTGGAGAGTAACCCACGTGAGGTCTTGCAGGAGTGTTCTGCACCTCTACATCTCCTTACCAACACTAGGTGCTGTCACTCGTGTGTATTTGCACAGGGCAGATCCATCTTCCAAGAAAAGGGTCAATAAAACAATTGCTTTACACTCAATATCTAAATGATTGATTATGAAATATGGTCTGCCCTTTCACCAGCCAGGGCTCTGGGATGAAAATGAGTTGGTATAAGAGGTTCAAGAAGTAGCTGGGAGAGAAAGAGGCTTCCCCAGGTTAGATTGTTCCAAATAGTAGAAAGTCACTCGAGTTCATAACATAAATATAGACTATAAATGAGTTCAGGGTAAAACAGACTGAATGCAAGATGATAACCAGATGTCCCTAGAAGAAGGTCTCTCGGTCATTTGTGACTTATTTACTTAGCAACGAGCTTTCTCTTTTCTGAAAAGGAAAGAGGCAGCTTACCTGACATAGCAATCGGCATGATATTTCTTTCCATTTAGGACTCCCAGCAGTGTTGGGTTTTCATTATTTCTGAAATTGAGTGTACAGTCATATACAGCTGGAACTATAAAAATAAGACAAACACAGAGCAGTATATAGCAGGTGGACCCGTTTCTGTTTTGCAGACACACATTCGAAGACATAACATCGCTAACTGGTTGTCTACGAATGGCACAATCAGATTTCCTTGTGCTTTTTCTATGTTGTTCAAATGTTCTACACCAAACATGTAATCAGAAAACCCCCTTATAGTATAGTAATAGAAAACAGAGTAATTGCTGAGGTCAGATCAATTTTAAAATTGCAGCAATACTACAATATTAGATCTAGATGTGTGATAACAATGATTGGCATCTTTCTAATATGCATGACCTGTTGTGCTCACAAATGCCCAAATTTACACAAATAGGGACAGAAGACAAGTTAATGGGAAGCATATTAAACATCTAAGCATGTCTGTTTCCTGGGAGCATTTTTTCCCCTGGAACAACAATGAGACAGCCACAAACCTGCCATAAGATACTGACTGGAAGCCCTTCAGGAATTGAATCAGAGTCAGTTGCAACATGGCCAAGAAATTATGCATGATGTTAATGGTCCACTCAGTGGTGAGTGACCCTGTCAGCACATTGGACTTAATGTGAAAAGTTGTGGTTGTAGTCCCCAGACTGCCCCTGCTCAGAAAGCTCTGGTTCTCAGGATGGAAGATGGCGAGAACGAACCAGTAAGTGATAGAAATGCCTGGTGGAAACATGGACTCTTGTGGTGTGTAGGACAGGCATGGACAGTGGAAGGAACAGGGATTTGTGTCAGACTGGACATGAATCCCAGGGCCACCTTTCTCAGTGGGGTGGTGTTTGCTTGGACAGGTGTCTCAGCCCTCCAAGCCTAGTTCTGGAGTATGTAGTCCTTCTGATGCCTTTGTCACTGTGGCTCAAATGACAATCAGGTACTGGCTGCAGGTCCAGCACCTTGTGCTCACCACATTATGAGCCTGGCCCTTCATTGAGAACTCTACATGTACCATTGCTATCAAGAAAAGGAATAGAAAATACTAGGAAGCTTCAAAAGTTCTTCATCTAGTTGGGAAAGTGGGGAACCCAGATTTGAAAATGATAAAATCACTATCATATTTTCTCTACCTGTTGCCTGACCCCCCTGCAGGTGCTGCAGGCCCACCATCTTTGGCAGGGGGAGAGGGTCCCTCCTGCTGGCCTGCAAGAGTGCCTGGGAGCAGGGCCCCCAAAGTGAACCGCACCACAGAAAACAGCTGGTCCAGCCAGGCACTGAATCACCTGCAATCCCAACATCTCATGAGGGTGAGGCAAGAGGACCGTGAGTTCAAAGCCAAGTTCAGCAACTTAGCAAGTCCCTAAGCAACTTAGCAGGACCCTGGTTCTAAATAAAATATAAAAAAGGGCTGGAGATGTGGCTCCGTGGTTAAGCGCCCCTGGGTTCAATCCTTGGCACCAAAAAAAGAAAACAGCTTGTCCTCCATATCCTCAGCATCCAGCTAAATCCTGAGGCTGGCCTATGCAACAGTTCAGGGTCTCTTGCTCTTTGTCTCACAAGGAGGAGAGGAGAGATGAGGACAAGGCCCCGGGAAACCAGCAACACAAGGCCTGAAGCCATGACGTGGCTCTGGTGACAAAGGGCCCAGCCTTGCCCTCCTCTCTCCACAGGATGCACCCCAGCCTTTCCTGGGTATACCTGGCATGTGACACCCAAGGAAGGTCTGCCTAGCCAACGGAGCTGCCCCCCGAGACCCAAAGCTGTGTGATGGCCCATCCAACCAGAAGGCAGTGAGGCCCAGGGACCAGGGATTCGGGAGCCGGGAAGCCACATGAGTTATCAGGGAAGAGTGTTTTAAACTTCAAAGACGACTAGAGGTCAGAAACCTATTGTTGGTTTCCTTGTTTCTTCTACCTAACAATAATTCAAGGCTCGGAACTCGCAGGTCAGCTGCCAGACACAGGTGGTTCATCATCTGCAGGCAGCTGATGCCAACAGATCCTCAGGAAATACCCCAAACCAACAGGGCTCACTTGGGTCTGTGGCCAGGGGCCCCTGCAGGATCCAGCACATTCCACACAGTCACACGGCAGTTCCACTGCTGAGCAGCAGAGGGCAGTGTTTGCTGGGATGCACTAAGGAGAGGTGCCCAGCAGGTTCTGAATCCCTCAGAGACCCTAATTTAGCAGTCACTCCTGCTGCCAGCCACATGCCGGCTCCAAGGCATCACCAGGGAACAGCACTGCAGATCACAGGCTGTGGGCACCCTGTGCTGGCAGGAGTGGTGGTGCTGCAGAGGCCGCCTCCTTACCTACATCCCTCAAGCACCTCACGGTGATGGCGAAGCCCTTGGTGCGTGGCAGCAGGTGGTGTTTGAGGCTGGGCAGCCCCTTGGCTTGGGCCACCTGCATGCTGATCTGGTGTTTCTTCTCTGTGAACCGTGTGCCCTCGCAGTGGATCAGGAACTGGAAGGTAGAGGGGGGACTGTCACACAGGACCCTATGGGTCCACTGTGTTCCAAGGTCACACACAATCCCAGATCACACGAGGTTGTCAAGTCACACGTCCTGAGATCATACACAACCCTGCAGTCACACCGCCTTGTGGTCACACACCACCCCAGGTCGCATGCAATTCTGTGTTCACCCATGGATCCGAAGTGACACAGAGTTGTGGCCACAAAAGGACCCGCAGGGATTGGCAAGACATGCTGCTCCCACGTACAAGATACTTCTCGGGGTAATCCCGGAGGTGCAACAGGCTCCTGGCGACTGTCTCGCGATCTTGCTCCCACTTGCGTGTGCAGAAGATCATTTCCGTGAAGTACCACATCCAGCCAATGATTGGGACGTAAGACAGCTCTTTCTTGGCCAGGACCTTGGAGTTCTGAAACAGGAAGCAGCACAGGGTGTCCATAAAAGAGAAGACTGGGCGGGGGGGGATCACCCCTTATGGCTCTTGGAGGTGTTAGTGGGAAAGGAGAGGTGTTCACACAGGAAGCCGCACACGTTCCAGAACACCCTGTGGCCAAAGCTGGTGGCCCTGGAGCCCTTCCCACTGTGTCAACGGGAGGTCAAGGCCACTCACTGTTGGGGGGGCAGGGAGGGAGGCTGGGTGCGTGCTGCAGGCCAGGCAAGCCAGAGTCGTTATAGACGAGGAAGTGGAGCCCAGAGGGGTTCTTGGGCACAGGCCCTTGGTGGAGCAGAGTCCATCAGACCAGCAGGTGCTCTGGCACTCTGCCAGCTGCTTTTTCTCATCTCTGAAGCCATGAACGGTGCTGAGTGCCCGCCACAGACCTTCCTGAGGTGGTGCAGGGTGCGGCAGCCTGGCCCACCATTAGGTTGGCATCCCAGCCACCGAGCCCCAAGGGCTACCGGGGGTGGCCCCAACCAGCTGTGCCCAGAACCCACAGGCCCTCTCCAGGCTGGGGAGCACCAGGGTTTCCATGGGTACCAGGGAGGGGACACAGAACAACTGGTCAGGATGCTCCTCCCTCAAGCTGGGGAGGTCCCATGTCCCAGGGGAGTCAGGCTGAGCTGCTCCTGACAGCTGCCTGGTTGAGCCCTAAACCTGAGCCACCCAGGGCCAATGCGAAGACGCCCCCACACGGTCCTTCCCCGCTCCCACTTTCTACCTTGTTTAAAAAGCAAACTTCGCCCTCCCTGTGGGGAAGAGGAGCACGGACACATTTTGATGTGCTTTTCATTTTGGACATGGAAATTCCCTCAAAGAGAATCGAGCCATGCATCCTGAAGCTGGCTGGCCCCAGCCGACTCGGAGGTGAGTGCCGGCAGTGTGGACACTCTCCAGAGGGAGCGATGGCTGCCCTTTGCCCACCCAAGGCCACACACTTTGTGTGAGTTCTATGTGATTCTAAACCCACGGGAATGTCCCGCCCTTTACAAACCAAGGCTCAGAGACGTGAAGTGACTTGCTTAGCACCACACGTCATGTGGCGAACAGCTGGGGAGGCCGAGTGTGTTGGCCAGTCTCCCTCTGAGGCTGACGTCAATGGGGCACAGGAGCAGACATGTGGGCCACCTTCTCAGGAGCCGTGCCCTCCTCCTTTTGCACCCAGACTCCTTTCTGTTCTAAGGACCCTTGGCACAGGGTCTGAGTGACAGGAGCCCGCTCCACCTGTGTGGCTTTGGTCAAGAAACAACTTTTCTGAGCTCCGGGCTTCTCACCTATGCCATAAGGAAATGGATACTAATCAATTTCACAGGGTTCCCACAAAGGTCGAGTAGCCTGTTACCTGTAATTATAATGCACCAATAAAAATGTGGGGGGAAGGGCTGGACAGCATATGGAAACCCAGAGAAGCAGAGTCGGGGATTTCCACAAGTAGTGAAGAGTGTGGCCCTTATCATTGTCCCAGGCCTAGCACAGAGCCAGGGTCTCTTCATTCAGCCCATTTTCTAAACCCAACATTAGCCTAACAATGATAAATAAATCATATTTATCCCAGCATTAACCAATGGGCTCTGTGCTAACAGACTTATGTGACTTAACTAATTTATTACTAACAGACTAGAAGTTATGGTCCCCAGAAACAAATTATAAACATCAGGACGCTCTCAGGCCCATCAGGGTTTCTGTGTGTGGGTGGCAACAGCCTTAAGGAATTTCCAAGAAAACATACACTGACTCCAGATTGAGCTTGAAGGTAGACCTGACAGGCTCTTCTGATGAGTTAGTTATGTACAGACCCATCCAGATGCAGCATGTCTTGAAAATCTGAATTTCTTAGGTAGTACAGGGTACTCCACAACCTATGGGGCTGAAGTATCCTGCCCTGCCATTTTCTACTGGTATAGGGTCACCATCGTCATCATACATGCTACAGCTAAAAGTTTAAAAAACTCGTGTGTGTATATGAGAGGGTATGTGGGGTGGTGAGGGGTGCAGCTCTCCTTCTCATCCCATGAGGCAGCCAAAGTCAGGACCACTACCACCCAGGGACACAGCCATCCCATGAGCCCAGAAGGCAGTACCTTGGCCAAGGGGCCACCAGTACAGAGACCCGCGGTAGTGGAAAGATCCACTCTGCCTCTCACGGATCCAGTGCCTTCCAGGCCTGAGATTGGATGGCTCCCACCTCACTTCTGCCGTGAAAAATGATCCTAACGTGTCCCTTCTCGTTACCCTTACTTCAGCTTACTCTGTGAGTGCTAGTCAAGGTCTCCCCCAACACGGCAGCCTGCCATGTGCTAGCATGAAAACCCTCAGTGCCTGTGCTGGATGTTAAGCTTCTTGAAAAGCAGTCAGCACCTTGCCCAGCCACATTCCTGTGATGCCCCACAACCTCTGACCCTCCGTGGGGACCTGCAGAGAGCCTGGTCAGGGGTGAAGACCACTCAGAGAGAGGAAGGCATCGTTAGATAAATCTTTCAAACACAGGACCGTTCCCACAGGTTTATCAGTTTGGCCACCAGTTAGTCATTTGTTTAACCCGGGGTCATTTATTTCTACTACATATATAAACTGAGGCCTCGTAAGTAGAAATTCAAAAACCAGTGAGACTTTTGTAAAAAATAAAAATAAGCTAGTTGGAATGTTCACACTTCAACACTTGGATGTTTTTCTTGACCATGAACTGGAGAAAGCAAACTGAAGTTTGGTGGAGCCCAGGCGAGAGTCTAGTGGGCAAGGAAGAGCAAAGCGGGCAGTTTCTGTTCTGTCTCTTCCACTGACTGCAAGGAAGTTGTTGAGGGAGCCTCTCTTCAGCAAGGCTCATGCCTGCAGAGGACTCGCTGTGGCCAGGACTGTCGTGAAGTCTCAGTCCCTACCAGAGTCATGCACAGGAAAGAGAGCGGAGCTCAAGATGATGCACCGAGAGAGAGAGAGAGAGAGAGAGAGAGAGAGAGAGAGAGAGAGAGAGAGAGAGAGAGAGAGAGAGAGAGAGAGAGAGAGAGAGAGAGAGTGCGTGTACACGCATACCGAAAGGTGAGAGACTCCATTTGTGCAAACTCAACTGGGGCCCAGTCTTGCTTACGCTCATTCCTTTCTCTGCTTTCTACATTCTTGATGCCTGGAGGAAAATGCCGTGGACTGTACTCTACCAGAGAATTCTCCAGAGAGTCAATAAACAAAATGAACTGTGTTCCACAATTAGTCACAGCCCTGGGGGAAATGCGCAAACCACACCTGAAACACAAAATGCTCTCTAAGAATTCATTTCTCGTAGACTAGAAATAAGTACGTGTGGTCCGCCAAAGCCCAGCCCACCGCCTACAGCTCTTGGGCTTCAGACAAACATCTTCACCTGCAGCCCCCAGTCGACATCCCTCCCCTTGCCAAGCCCAGGTGGTGTGTTCACAGCTGGGCAGGTGTGCAGGTGTGCCTGGGGACAGGAGCAGCCTTTGGGGGCCAGTCAGGGAGCGCAGTCCAGCAGGACATTTATCACCACTGACTCTGCTCCAAGGGGTCATGGTGATCAGGACAGAATGGGAGAGAGGAGGCCCCTGCACCTGGCTCTGGACTGTCCTTCCTGAGCACAGGTCCTCATGCCCCCCACTCAGTTTGTATTCCAAACAGCTGGCCCAGGGCCTTCCTGGGGTGGCTCTAGGCCTGAGCAGCTAGGAAGACAAGAAGGCATAAAAGGGCAGGAGGCACAACAGGACTCTCAGGGGCAGGTCGTGAGGGCAGTTTGCCCTTTGCGCAGTGCCATCTAAGCAGTAGGCATTTGCCCCACATCGCAGGCGTGTGGGTGGCAGGCGACAGGGCCCTGAGCCAGCACGGGGGGCAGGGCAGACAGTACTGTGAGCACCATCCCAGAGTAGACCATGTGACTGGCACAGTGCATTGTGCCCCAGGGGACCAGGCCACCCGGCCAGCACTGCCGCCAGCCTCCTTTACAACTGGACAGCTCGTTAAGACATTGCCAGAGAATTCCATTCAATGAAAGAGGAGCCTGGCCACGTCTACCGTGGGCAGCCAGAGTAGGCTGGTGTGCCCGGGACCACTCATCAGCTCACGAGCAGGGGCTCTCCTGAGCTACCACTCTTCTCCTGGCTAGTGACTCACCTGGTCACCTTATTGTCACTATCAGGTTCCTTGTCCGTGCCACACCTGGTCCAGGAGGTGAACCGTGAGGGCAGAAGCAGCAGCCTGCCCACTCCCTCGGTCCCCACGGGGCCTGCCTGGTGCTGCAGACAGGGTGGATGAATCCCAGCCCAGATGTTCCATAAGAACGGGGTTTCATCCGCACAGGGATCTCGCACAGAACATCTGGGTAAATCCCAGGTAGCAAAAAGCTCTGTCCTAAACTTTATCTTGCTTTTCAAAAATAGGGAAATGGCCACAAAGGGACCAGTGGCGTCCCTCCCTGGGCACCTTTGCTGTCTCCCATGAGCTGGTAGACACTAGGCGTTAGACTAGTGCTAACACAGTGACTGTCCCAGACAGCACTGCCCACATGCCAGCCTCCCCTTCCCACCCCTCCTGTGTCCTGCCTTTGCCACAGTGGGCCCAGCTCCTCCCCGGGACTCCGACAGCACCAAGGTTAACACCCACAGCCTCCCGGGGCACTCTTGGGGTGCTCCATGGCATTGCCCTGTAGGGAACAGGTTGAGTACCAGCCTGGCCACCTGCATCCTGCCGCCCCAGGTGAGAATGTCCTGTTGCCCTCAGAACACCTGGCCTCGCAGGACAGCCATGCACACTGTCCCTTCACCTCCCTTCATACAGCACGGGTCCTTGGAGACACTTTATCTTTCAACCCACAGCACCCAGCACAGCGTCTTCAAGGGCTCACACCCACAGTACACAATTCCTTGGACACATACTGTGAAAATATGTGGCTTGCTGCCATCACTAAGAATCTTATTTAAAGGGGCTAGGGTTGTGGCTCAGTGGAAGAGTGCTCACCTGGCATGCATAGGGCCCTGGGTTCGATCCTCAGCACCACATAAAAAAAATAAAATAAAGATATTGTGTCCACCCAAAACTAAAAAATAAATTTAAAAACAAGAAAATTAATTTTAAAACAAAGAATCTTATTTAAAAGGCAGGACCCAGCTTTGTGAGGGACTTGGATGTCCCTTCTACTCAGGAATAGTAATTCTGCACTCCTCTATCTTTTTTACACAAAGAAATACAACAAAGTTTCAATCTGATTTTGGACTGAACTGCCTCGTTCACCCTGGATCCTAGTTACTAAGCAGAATGGAGGTCTGAGATGTGGGGCCAAGTCATTCTCTTCCCAGGGAAGAAGGAGCCAGTGGGCATCTGAGATCCCATGACAAGGCTTTGGGGACCTGGCCAGAACAGGAGCCGAGTCTCTGGGTCAGGCTGGTGGACCACTGGCCATACTAGTGGGGCCTTAGGATGTTTTCAAAGGTTGGAGGCTTCTGTTCAGGAGAATTCCATTACTCTCCCCTCAGAACAAACCTAATAACCCCTTGCTCAAGAGTTCTGCAGATTTCATTTTAGTTGGATTTAAACTCATTTCCTCACGGACCGTTCCACAGGTGAGGATGAAAAATGCCTGGCGAGGAAAATGCTTTCCTCCTTTTCTAAAAAGCCATCTGCTCAGGCTCCAGAGGGGTCTCTCAGCTCAGAACCCAGAGGCATTTCCAGAACGATCTTCACAGCTCAGCTCCAAAGGGCTCTCCACAGCTCAAGTTATCAACAAGAGACTGATGAATGAAGGGTTCGTCTTAAAGGTCACCGAAGACAAAAGACTCTGCACACCCATACCAGATGCTGGCCTGTCCAAGGGAGGAGGATTCTGGGAAGAGGCCAGGCCTCTCCTCCAGCACTGCGGGTTGTACCGGGCCACAGCTCCTCTGCCAGGTGGCAAAGCTGCTTTTTAGTACATTTGGAGGGGGGCTCCTGGCACCTTCCACCAGCTCCCCACGAGGTCCCTGGTCCCCATCCTCTCTGCTGGCCTCCGCATCCTCTCTGCCTCCCCCCGCCCCAGGGCCTACTCTCCACCAACACTTGGCCCACTGGGGCCACAGCACATGCCGTTCCTCTGGTGTTTAGAGAAACTGGGATTCACTTCCTGTCGCTCTCCTCCCAATTCTGAAGAAACTCAGGGGCTCTTTAGTGAGAAGCCATGAAACCTGAGCCCCCATGAGTATCCAGTGAGGTAGAGGGTCCTGGGCTTTGAGACCCGCCCCCTCACCTCCAGGTGCGTCTCCCCAAACCCTCTACCTCCTAAATCCAGTCACCTACATCTGGCGACCCTCCACCCCTTTTACCCACCCACATTAGCTATGTGGTTTAATAGTGTTTGAGGAGATCCTCTAAATCTGGTACTCGCTTAAGGAGCGGAGAGTGAGGAAGAGGAGCCCCTGGCACAGGCGGGTGGGCGGGTCCTGCACAGAGGAGGGAGAGCCTCCAGATCTTAGAGAAAGTGCCAACCAGGGTTGAGAGGGAGTCTGCTCTGGGAGTCTGCAGCCCTCTCTGGGCCAGAGTCCCTTCCCAGCCCAGGCCTCCTCTGCCCTGGGTCCCCTCCCCTCTCCTGGGCCCCTCTCTACCTCTGGGTCCCCTCCCCTCTCCTGGGTCCCTCTCTGCCCCTGGGTCCCCTCCCCTCTCCTGGATCCCT